GCCTCAGTCCGCAAAGCTACTGTCCATGCTGCTTTCTCCAGCGCCCCGCGGCGGCCGTGGGAAGCCGCCCCTCGCAGGGTCTGCCCCAGGGACGCGATGGACACAAGGATGCTGTCCTCCTAGGGCGGAAAGCAGGAGGCTGGTGGGCACGTGCTACCACCCTGGGGTCCGGGACGCAGCTGCGGGAGAACAGGCGGGTCCTCATACCTTCTGGGCTCCACAACGGGTGGCTTCCCGGCCCCGCAGTCTGGTGCCTGCAGCCCCGGGCCTGACCCTCCTTACTGCTGCTTGCAGGTCCTCAAAGATGACTGCACGGTAATGGCGAAGGACGTCGGGGACACTGCACACAAGGAGCCCTGTTGGGCTCAGCAAGGCCCCTGGCAGTGCCAGCAGGAGCACGCAGAGTGCAGGCCAAGGGGACACCTGGAGGGGACACTGGGTCAGGGCGGGTGCTGGGCCATCTGGGTGGGTGGGGAAGCACCCTGCCAGCCACCTGTGGGGTCTGTGCCCCATAAAATGGGAGAACAGGTTTTCCCATGAAAAGCCCCCAAGGGAGCAGAACTTGGCCAGCAGGATGCAGAACTGCTGGGGGGTTGGGGGCACTGCCCCAGAATTGTCTACTCATGAAAGGCTGGCTCTTAAGGGCCACATCCCCAGGTCTGTTCTGGACACAGCCCCCAACCAGGGCGGCCCTTTCTCTCCCTAGGCCCTGCCAACCCAACACAGTCTTGGAGAGCAGGAGCCTGCCACCCCTGCCCACCTCCCACCCCGACCAGGAGGGGCAGGGAAGAGAATCCAGATGCCCAGGCCACACCCCATAGGAAGGGGAAGGCTAGGGGAACCCCCGGGGCCACATGAGAGGGATGGCCCACCCCTCAAAACTGGGGATACTGAACTTGTGGGGAGCCCCCCAAAGCCTACCCTGTAGAGAGCCCTGTCCCCAAACCTGCCCGCCTTGCAGGCCTGGACAGATCTGGAAATCAATCTTGTGAACAGAGTCGGAGAAGCTGCTCCTGCTTCTCAGCCTGCAAAGCCTGGCCCCGGCGTCCCCACAAGGGTGCCGGGCTGACCAGGGCTCCTTGGGATGCCCAGCTGGAAAGACATGGGTAGCCACTTTGACCTGAGGCAGCCCTCCCTCCTCTAGGCACTTCCAGGAAGGCCTGGGCACCCGGACCCTGCCCCTCGGTGCTGGGAACCGTCTGGGAATTTCCCACTGCCAGGCAGAAAGGCAGTGGGCATCTTGGGGACTGTGCCTTCCCCATCATCGTTGCCCCACACTAAGCTCCCTCCCAAGGCGGCTCACCATGGGCCTGTTAGAGGCAGGGTCCTCCGGCAGCTGCACACATGATCTGGATCCCGGCTGGAGCAGAGATGGCTGGTGGAGCGGCCACAGCTTTTGAAGTTGGCCCTTCAGAACAGAAGGGGAGAGCAGGGGAGGGAGAGGAGGGGAGGGAGAAAGGGGGGGAGGAGGCGACAACTCCCAGCCCAGCCGCCTATCCAATCGCATCTTCAATTAACCTGACCCTGGAGGGAGGGCTGTCCTTGGGTCTGGCCCCAGGCTGCCTGCTCTGGTGGAGGTGGGCAACCCTGAGGGGGCTGTCTGCGCTCCCTCCCACCTCGGACTGTGCAGCCAGGCCTCAAAGTCTCAACCTGTCCTGTCTGAGGAGCAGCAGTCTGGAAGGAGGAGGTTGCCTGACAGCCCCCCTGCCCCCCCTGGCGTGGGTCCTGCCCCAGCAACTCCCCTTGGTTGAAGGGACTTCCCGGGAAGGACCCCCACTGGCTCCCAGGGCTTGAGAGCAACTCTCGGGGTCCCCTCCCTGACGAATGGTGTCCAGGGCACAGGCCAGTGTGCTGGATGGCCCTGGGAAGCAGGGGGGACCCACCCTCAGCCCAGATGGTCTGTGGCTTGGGACTGCGTCCCTCTGCACAGGGGGAAATCCCACCACCCCCTGCCCCCATGGGCGGGCTCAGCCTCTGTTGACCTGGTACCAAGGGAGTACGGATGTCCCACCACATGAGGGGGTCCCTACTGTGGGAGCACTTCCCCCACAGCTGAGAAGGCTCACAAGGCACCACGCCCAGCATGGCTTGTCATTTAAAACCATTTGAAAGTCCCAAGGCCCGAAGCCACCCTCCACTCTCCTAGGTGTGCGCTGGCCAACAGGAGGGACGTGCCCGGCAGTGTGTCCCCCAGAGCAGCCAGGAAGACAGTTGGGGTGCCCTCGAGAGGAAGCCACCCGTGGTAAGCTGAGAGGAAACAATTCTAGCCTCCTCTGTGGTTGACATGCCTCATGAGAGCTCACTAGGCCCTAGCCAGCCTGCACACCACCGGCTGGCACCCACCCACTCCCCACAGAGCAGTCCTGCGAGGGGCTGGCCCTCCCACTGACCCTGGGTGTTGGGGGAGCTTGCAGGCCCTCAGTGGGGTGTGGGACCGGTCACCGAGAAGGCTTTGTCACAGCTTGGACACCATGGAGCCTCCACGCTGCTTTCTGTACAGCAGGTTCCTTGAGGCCCAGGGCCACCAGCAGCCCCTCCAGGTGACCAGAGGCAGGCCCTCCTCTGGCAACGTGACCACACTCCCCCCTGTGGTGAGGCCCAGCCACGGCCCAGGAAAATCTGCCGGTCACCAGGACAACACACCATGTGAGAAACCAACGTTTAATAGTGAGTGACCTACACAGAACGCCCAAGTCCCTGACTCCTGCCCCCAGGTAGGGCTGGCCTCTAAAACGCGTTCTTGATGCCAGCGGCCACCAGCACCAGCACCTCGCCGATCTTCTTTTGCCAGTTGGCGACGTCCTTGGACACGGCACACCACAGCTCCCCATGGCGCGGCTCGGCGTTCTCACAGCGCTTGCTCACTTCCTCCTGCTGCTCCTGGGGACGCAGGGCATCTCAGCAGGGTGCCCCCACCCAGGGACGGAGTAGCAGACCCCAGAGAGCTCTGGCCCCTCCGGTCCCTTAAGTGGACTCAAGACAGCCCCTCCCATGGGGCAAGCCACCCTCCCTGAGTCCGTGCCTCACTCAGGACCTGACACCTGGACAGAGTGGACCAGAGTGCATGTGCCCAGTAGCTGCTGGTGACACGACACAGGCAGCCCAAGGAAAAGGGGACCAAGACATGATACACGCCTCTGATCTCTGGCTGACCCCGCAGTGCCCTACAGAGGGACCAAGAAGCCACCCATAAGCGTGGTGACTGTGGGGGACCGGGGAGGGGGTCTCGGCTTACCTCGGTGCCGTGCTGCAGCTCAAACTTATAGAAGAAGGCCCAGGCGTCCCCCAGGTCCGAGTCGATCTTCACAGTGCGGTGGAACCACTCCCTGGCCTTGGTGATCTTCCGCTCACTCCAAAACAGCCTGGCCCAGAGAAGGCAGGTCTGAATGGGTCGCTGGGTCACCACGGCGGCCCTGAGGTCCTGTCATGAGTTCTGCCCACTTCAGCCACCACATTCTGGCCTGGCTGTCACCAGCAGGTGCAGGGCCTGAGGTATCACACCGTGGGTGACCAGACGAGTAACAGGTCAAACACCAGGGGAGCGGCCCCTGCATCGCCATGGGCCATGCAGGAGAAGCGCCAAACAGGCTCTGAGGTCCAGGATGTCAAGTGGACAAAAGCAGACGAGATCCCTGGAGGCCACCCCGCTGGCCATCTGACAAGGGTCTCCTCTGACTGAGCTTGTCGGCGCCCTGGGCTGGGGGCTGGTTGAACTAGGCCCTAGACAAGTGTGTGGGCCTGGCAGAAGCGCCCTGGGGTCCCCCGAGAAGGCACCCAGCCTTTAGATAAACTGTGCTGAGAGGCACAAGCCTGAGGGCAGACCTGGGAGTGGCTGTTTGCTTTAACAAAGCCTTTTATGAGGGTTTACGGCCTGCCCTGTCATCGTGCCAGACGTAAATGTCCCACTGAGAGGAAGCAGGAGGGCTGGGCAGGCGCAGACCAGGCCGCCAGGGAAGCCTCCAGCCGCACCTGCCCTCCACTCCTAGACTGAGGAGGGCTGGGGCAGCGAGGCCAAGGCCACCCGAAGAGCATGGCCCCAGCCAGCGGCAAAGCCAGCTGGGAGAGGGGATGGGGCAACAAGCAGGCTGCCTCTTCACAGTGCCACTTGAATGGGAGCAGAAGCCAAGGTCCCGGCAGGGGACAACTCACAGGAGAGGGGCCTCCAGCCTGGCACTGCTCACCTGGCCCGGGCAGTCCCTTCTCACCCGCCTGCACTCAGAGAGTCCGATGGGTCCCCTCTCGCATATGGGCTGGTCTCAGCTCACCCAGCCCCCCATCAGGCTTCCCATTCCAATCTGTACACCCAGCACTGCTGCCCCAAGGTCCAGCTGGAGTTCTCCCACAGGAATCCCTCCGACCTTGGCCCCATTGGCACCCGGGGTCCCCACATGGCGGCAGACTGAGGGGTGCCTCGGGACTGGGGACTCACTTGGCCACGGCCAGGAGCACATGCGGATCATGCTCACACTTCTTCAGGGCGTCCACGCTCTTTGTCTTCCGCTGTGGCCGGGCCTCCAGGAATACAGCCTCAGACCACAGGATACCTGTGGGTCGGACAGGTGTGAGCCTGGCATGCAACCCGGGGTGGGGGTGGGGAGGGTGAGGCACGCCCAGGAGAGGTACACGGACCCAGCCTCGGAACCGTCACCAGAGATGCCACCCTGAGCCTGCACAAGGGACAGGCCCGCAGAGGGCAGATGGAGACCAGGGAGGCAGCAGTCTCAGCAAACCCAAAGAAGCTTGCTTGCTTTTGCAGGGTCATCAGAGACAAGCTGACCTGTGGTAGCCGAGCCAGAAGGATAGAGGTTGGGACCAGGGTGGTTGCCAGCCCCTACTTTCTCCTGCCTGCCCGACCTCTCTGCCTTGCTCACCGCCAGGGAGGGCAGGCCAGAACGCTGCCCATTTCCATGGGCAAATGCTGACACCTCACCTGAGTGGGGGCACTCCTGCAGGGCCTTGGCCATAAGCGTGTTGGCGATGTTCTTCAGGCCGGCCCGGTACTCCAGCCGCACTGACTCCAACCTGAAAGACCAGACCGCGGGTGCCCACATGCTCTGCAGCTTCCAGAGAGCCTTGGTGAGGGGTAGCAGCTGGAAAGCCAGCCCCGACAGCTGCCTGGCACCCCACAGCAAGGCCCTCCCTAATAGCACAATGAGCACATGCCAAGGCCAAGGTCACACCCACAGAGTCTGTGTATACTCTGTCCAGTCCCCTGTGCAGCCCACAGTCACTTCACCCTGACCCTGGATGTAGGACTGCTTCCTGGAAGTCATTGAGTTCATGAAGGTCAGCTCACCCCCCCAGTGCCTAACCCTGTCCCCCAAGCCCAGTAGCATCCTGTTGTTACTTGATTGCTGCCCCCCACTGCCAGCCAGGCTCCTCAATGGTTGTCCAACAGGCTACACTCACAGGCTGGACTGGAGGACTGGCTGAGGACTGGGCTGGAGGACTGGCTGAGGACTAGGGTGGAGGACTGGCTGAGGACTAGGGTGGAGGACTGGCTGAGGACTAGGGTGGAGGACTGGCTGAGGACTAGGGTGGAGGGACTAGGGACTCGTTCCATAGGGTTTCCAAGGCTGGACTCCTGTGGGGAAGCCGACTGCTCCATCTCTTTCCCATGGAGCCATCGGTGCCTCCCAACTGCTGGCCTTGGCACTAGGGTGGAGGACTGGCTGAGGACTGTGCTGGAGGACTGGGTTGGACTGGGATGGAGGACTGGGATGGCTGGCTGGAAGACTGGGCTGGAGGACTGGGCTGAGGGCTGGCCACAAGGCTGCACTCACCACAGGCCAGGGTTTTTCGGATTCTTGAGACGTGACTTTTCTAGGATGGCTCGGGCTCGGGTCAGCTGCCCAACCTTCTCTTCCAGCCGGGACAGCAAAAGCCAAAGGGGTGTGGAGTGGGGACACTTCTTCAGCTGTGGCGGGAGTATAAACATTAGTGTGGGCTGGAGATCACACACACAACTCTGCGGCTAGGCGGGGCCCGCTGGAGCTCACACACACAACTCTGCGGCTAGGCTGGAGCTCACACACACAACTCTGTGGCTAGGCGGGGCACACTCAAATGTGTGTGAGCCCGTCTCCCACTGTGAATCACTCTGGCTCTTGCACATGGGCTGCAGTTCCCATGCACCCCCGCCTGCCTGTGCACAGCTCCACAGGCTGCAGGGACCCTGCCACACACCCCTCACCCTACATTGCTGCAGGCCTACCAGGCCCACCTGCCATAGCACCCTAGGCTCGCCCCCGGCTGTAGGCTCGTCTTGGATCGCACGCCTCGCCCCCCATGGGACTGCCCAGGTTCATCGTCAGTCGTAGCCACACACCCCACCCTGCTCACCCCTTGGCTGTAGGCCTCACGGGCCCTCTCAGGCAGCCCCTGCTGCTCCTCGACCTGGCCCTTCATCATCCAGAGCTTGGGGAAGTCCTCATAGTGCTTCAGGGCCTCCTCACACAGCTCCTGGGCGGCTACAAGGCTCCCCAGCACCCACTCCAGCTTCACAGACTTCATGAACACCTGATGAGGAGGCATGGTCGTCATGGCCCACCCACCTGGGGTTTGAGTGCTGCCCTGCCCTGGACCCAAGGCAGCCCCGTCTGCCGGCTGCTCACCCGGGCAGTGGGCGCGCTGCTCCGTGCTTTGGCCAGCAGCCTGCGTGCCCGCTCGTATTCGTTGTTCTCTGACTCCAGCTTGACGGCAGCCAGCCAGATCTCCTCACTGTTGGGGTTGGCCTGTGAGGTGCAGGGGACCAGAAGGTGTTGGTCACTTCTTGATGCTGAGCCCTTCTGGGTCACGGGCCAAAGAGCCAATGTGCAAACGTGCCCAGTGTCAGGGCCACACGATGAGCCAGGCCCAGGGGCACAGTGTGCCCACAGCCTTAGTCTATGTGGTTGGGGACCTCGTGACCCCAGAGGGTGCCCTGGATTAGGACCAGGCGTGCTTGTTGCCAGCGCCCACCCCCTAGGCTCCCAGGCAGGAAGACACTCAGCCTGAGTGCCCGCTCACACCAGGTCCGGCAGAGGACCTGGAGAGACGCCGTGTTCTGTCAGGTGCTGAGCCGTGTCCCACCAAAGCTCAGTGGCCCGGGGCCACCCCACTCACCCACCTGGAAGGCCAGCGCCAGGATGCTCCGTGCAGCCGGCACGTCCCCAGCCAGCCACTTGGACTTGGCGCCCATGAGCCACAACACCTCAGCCTTGGGGCAGTGGGCCACAGCCCGCTGCAGCAACGCCTCCAGGGACTCCCTGCAAGTACAGGCGCCACCAGGGCCATAAAGCTGTAAAGTCTCCCTGCTCCAAAGTCCACACCATAAACACTTTATCGGGTTTATGGGGTGCGCTTGGGGAGTCGCCTCCTTCTCCACAAAGGCCCCGAAACCAACTACTGGGCAGGCGGGCAGGACAGAGCAGCCATTGTTCACACCCCGGCATGCTGGCCTCCAAGAGAGCAGGCAGCAGCCCCAGGGGTATGCTGTGCCATCCCACCAAGGGCTGTCCTCAGGTGCACAGCTCATGTGGGTGCCAGCCCCAGGGGAGCCCGGCAGAGCCCCTCATCAGCTGGGGGTGCAGGACCAAATGTACCCGAGGTGAAGGAGGGCACCACACAGGGACCCACTGCTGGGCAGGGTGTCCTGGGGCCACACCCACCCACAGACACCCACCCACAGAGACTCCCAGACAAAGACACAGGCACACAGACACCTCCCCCTACCCCCACCAGGAGTTAGTGGAGAAGCTGCCACCACTCCACCTGGGAGGAGGAGAGGAAGGGGAGCTTCAGGGCAGGTTGGGAGATTCGGACTAAGCCACCTACGAAGCAAAGGGACTGAGGGTTCAGTGTCCCGGAGACAGCTAGGGAGGGAGAGGGAAGGCCCAGGGGACCCAGGCATTTAGGACAAGCAATTGCAACACCTAATTTAATCAGCGTTTACAGCCAATCAGGCAGACCCGAAACGTTTTTTCAATTAAAGGACATTGTAAAGGCCTCCTCAGAGCACCAAGAGCAGCCAAAAGCCACAGCAGCCAGTTCAGATGGAATGAAAGCCAGGCCTCCGGCCACCGGCTGAGCCTCTGCAGGGTGGGGTGGGGCCGGCCCACAAAGGGGTCCACGCAGAAAGCCCTCACCCCACCTGGCCTCCCCCACTGGGCAGTGGCCCACCTGGTGCCGTGGTTCTTCTCGAAGTAGGCGGCACGCAGCCACACGCTCTTCTTGCTGGGGAAGACCTGCAGCGCGTGGGCGTAGATGGCGCGGGCGCACTCCAGGGCGCCATGGGCCACGCACTGCGGGGAGAGGGGCGTCTGAGTCATGGGCACCGCACAGTAAGAATAGGCTGTGGGGCGGGGACTCGCTTCTTCTAATACCCAGGACCCGTCTGGTGACACGAGGGACCGAACGGTCACCACAGTGGGATACAGAGGCAAGGTGGCAGTGCAGGAGAGCTGGACCACAGAAACGGTGAAAAGGTTCACTGGGCAGCAGGTGGGCCGGGTCTCAGGACTGGCTCAAGACGGCTGAGCAGGCACCTAAACCACGACAGCGCTTCAGGAAACGCCACCAGGTGCGGTTAGAGACAGGCATTTCCCACTGCCGGCGAAGTCTGCCCAACTCCTGGTGAGCAGAGGCAGCACAGCCCAGGGCGCAGTGCTGTCCCGTCGCTGGCCTGTCCTTGGCCCCTGACCGCCGAGCTGGACAGGCACCCACGGGCATACCCATATGCAATTCGTGGGCACCACCCGGCCCTGACCACACGCAGCCCCCCTGTGCTGGCCCAGCAGCAGCCCCAAGACCGCTGAACCCCAGAATGACCTGTGGGAAGACATGTTGCAGGTAATACGGCCAGGGACCAGGCCTAGTGGATCTGGAACCCGTGCAGCACTATCTGTCACCCTGGGGCGCCGCCCACACAGGACTGCAGAGGTGGTGAGATGACGGTAGACACAGGCCCACCCACACCCAGGTCTCCCTGTCTGTGCAGGTGCATGTGCACGTGTGCAATGAGCATGGTGAGTGTGCAGGAGTGAACGCAGCGTCTGAGTCTGTGTGAGTCTACGGGTGGGCTCGTGTGTGCGTCAGCGTGCACGGATACCTCTGGGTGTGTGTGTGCCGAGGTAGGCTGTAAATGTGCACACTTGAGAAAACTAGGGAAGGCATTCTTGCTCCGGCCCTTTCTGTCAGTCTGAAATCGTCGCACATGAAAGGGCCTGGCCCTGGGCTGGATGGCCACCAGCCCATCGGCAGAACCTCCATCTAAGGTGGCCACCCCACAGAGGGCAGCTCCAGGTGGCAAGGGCACTTACACTGTCGGCGTCCTCCATCCAGGTGTGCTTGCGGTCCTCCTCCTCAATCCCGATGCCGATGACGGCTCGCATGACCGCCTGGCAGGTGGCCACACTGCCAGCCTTGTCGCCCTCCTCCGCGTCCTGGGGGCACACACACTGGCTAGTTGAGAGCGCCTGAACACGCGTGACCACACCTGCTCCTCACTGCCCTTCAGGCCCTGTGCCTGTCCCTGCTGCCAATGGACAAACAGCCCCAGCAAGAGGGCACCTGCTGTGCAGAGCCAACAAACAGCCAGTGTGGGGTCTCCATTGTGCCTCCCCCTTTTTAAAGAGGCCCCGCAGGGAACCGGAGACAAGATGGCATGCAGGAGAGAGACAACAGTCCCGAGTGGGTGGAACACATGCACAAGGCCAGGCAGTGGGTGCAGCTCAGGCACGGCAGGTACGCATGTGCCCCAAGGACATGGGAGGAAAGACATGGTGCCCACAGCAGCGCTCGGTCAACATGGTCCTGGCCCAATGCCACTCCGCTCCGCCCACGCGGTGAAAACCCATTGGGGAGCGACCCAAGCACGTGCCTCTGGCAATTGTACCCATAGGGTGCGCGCTCAAGCGGGGGCCAGGGCAACAATTTACAGGGCGTGTGTGTGTGTGTGTGTGTGTGTGTGTGTGTGTGTAATAAGCCTGGTGAGTGTGTGTGTGTGTGCGCGCGCAGGAGTGTATCAGCGTGTGTACATCAGCCTGGTGCGAGGGTGTGTGCAGTGTGACAGCGTGTGTATGTCAGCCTGGTGAGAGTGTGCCTGTGCGTGCAGGAGTGTGACAGCGTGTGCACGTCAGTTTGTGCAGTATGAGTGACAGCAGGTGTGCAAGAACTGGGGTGTGGTGGTGTGCTTGTGTGACGTGCCTGTGTGTTTGAGTGTGCTGTATAATAGTGGTTTCCAACGTATGGGTCGCAACCTCTTTGGGGGTTGCACGACCCTTTCACAGGGGTCTCCCAATTCATAACAGTAGCAAAGTTACGGTGATAAAGTAGCAACGAAAGTAATTTTATGGTTTTGGGGGCGGTCATCACATGAGGAACTGTATGAAAGGGTTGTGGTATTAGGAATTTTGAGAACCACTGCTGTAGAAGGGGAGCCAGCCCAGGGATACTCAGTGGGTGACCCAGGAAGGTAGGAAGAGGCGCCACAGACACAACTCAAGCATTGGGTCAGATGCCCCCATAGTTGTCCCTGGATGCAGGCCTACACGACAAGTGGGTGAGTGGACATGGTGGACAAGGCCACTTCAGTTGGCACAGGCCATGGACCACATATCTACACAGGAAGCTCTTCAGGAAACCAGCCAGCTCCTGGTGTGCACCGGGCCCTGGCTTGGCCCAGGGCCCACGACCCACCTGGATCCACTGCTCCCGGTTGATCTCCACGCCGTTGGCCCGCAGCGAGGTGATGGCGCGGTCGATGATCTTCTCCACCATCTGCGTGTTGCCGTTGGCCTCCTCCAGCTTGGCGGCTGTGACCCAGATGTGCCGGTCCGTGGGAATGTTCTCCCGGGCTTTGTTCAGGACCTTGCGGGCGTTCTCATAGGTCTCCAGCCGAGCCAGAGCCAGCCAGAGCTGAAGGACGAGGCGCCAGGGCCTGAGCAGCCCCTCGGGCAGTGTACACTGCCCTGCCCCGCCCCACCCCGCCCCCCGTGGGCAGACCCAGCAAGCAGCTCCCAGCTCAGCACAGAGACACCCAGGGCCTCCACATGCCGCTTGAACTTAGACTCCAGGCCAGTGAGAGGCCGGAACAGCATGGCCCTGTCTGATAGGACAGAGCCCTCAGACTGTTGATTCTGGAACAGTCTGCTGCCAGAGCATGTGTGCCGACTCTATTTTTAAGTACATAAATTAAGATTAATTTGTTGAATTTCACAACACCCTTCGGGTAATTAAAGACATGCTGGGCATCCTGAAAGCAGGTCGGATGGTCAGTGCGGCAAGTTCTGCAGCCATGAGGCCAGTGCTGGGCCTCGATTCCAATCATTGGACCCCTCGGACACGAGGGGGTCTGTCCAAAAGGTCCCCAGGGCTGATAGGGGCTGGGGCTGCTGCCTCCTCTTTCTCTCAAGAGTAGCAGGTGGGTATGGACCGCTGGCCTTTGGTTACCAGCCAGGGGTTTAACCACTGCACCACCAGGGCTGCTCACCTCCACGCTGGTGGGGCAGCACTCCACGGCCCGGCTGAGCATGATGCGTGCGTCCTCCGGCTCCTCCAGCTCCACGGCGGCCTTCCACAGGCGGACCGAGTTAGGGACGTGCTCGAGGGCTGGGTGGCGGCGGGAGGGAAGGGGAGTCAAACAAGACATCATGTTGGGGTCGAGCAGGGGGACGAGCGGGGGTGCGTCTCCACGTGTCTCATTAGCAGGGGGAGGGGCAGGCTGACCGCCGGTACTTTCCAGAGCACTCACAGGGCCAGACTCATGCTGGTCAGCTGTGCGCCCAGTGGGCGGTGCCTGGGCCACACAGCATGTGGGGATGGCCAGGGCCCAGCAGAAGCTGCCCTGCAACCCCTCGGGGCTAGGAATGCATGCAACCCTGACCCTGGGAGCAGAGGTGCACTCGAGACACCATCCACCATGGTCACAGTTGCCCTTCTGCCACGCTCCCAAAAGGTACGAGGTGACAGTGGTGGTGGCTTGCCCCCCATCAGGTGTGCCAGAGTCCCAGTCACCACAGGAGGTGGCCACCCATTTCGACTTCCAAGCACCAGCTAGCTCCTCCTGAGTCACCAGCAGCCACATGCTGAGGCCCGGAAACCAAGGGGTTGGGGCCCGCGCTTGGCATCCTGATTCAGGGGACCAAGAGGCCACACGACATCACGTGGCAGCCCCTCCAGTGGCCTGCGCTGTGCGCAGGCCCCCAGGCCCATGGCCCTGCACATCGAACGCCAGACAGATGCGCACCCACCCGTCTGCTGTGAGCAGGGGCAGGGCTCCCCATCTCTGCGGTGGGTGCTGGTTGGGCCTTCCCAACAAGCACAGTGGGCAGGGAGCCTGTCAGCGGAGACTAAGCTCCCCGGCTGTCTGCGGAACAGACGCATGGGCAGACGGAGGTGAGCGGGATGGCTCCTGCCACTATCTCAGAGCAACCAACGGCAGCAGGGCACCACACTGGCACATATACCCACACACACCACACGCAGACACATAACACATACGCACACCACACATGCAGGTACACACAACACAGGAACACATCACACATATCACACAGAAACACAAACTACATACGCACATAGAAACACACACAGACTCACCAGACACCACCCCCGGGCCCCTACAGACACATAACACACACATACTGTGTCAGTTACATTATCTGGTGTCAACTTAAGACTATTAAAGTGTTTAACCTGTCCAATCAGGTTGCAGCTTGATGACCTCATTTAGAGACACAACGGAGATAAATAGCTCACTGGAGGCCAGATACTCTCTCTGCTGGTCTCCCTGCGAGACAATCCTGGTGACAAGCCACACAGAGCTACACTGAGGGAGCCAGAGCCCTGGAGCTGGAGGAGCCACGTGGAGACCCACGCCAGGGCTGAGATGCTTCCACCGCCATTGGATCCACAAGAATTTCCACCCAATGACCAGTGATCGTCCTGCATTCAGCGTCACTGCATGTGTTGTGTGAGTCTGAAGAGAAATTTATAGATTGGTATTGACATATGGGCTACTACCAGGCTTATGGACTGATCTGGACTGGGCTAGGATGTTTTCTTCTTATACAATTGCCCTTTGATATAAAGTTCTCTCTTACACAGGTGAGTATCTATGTATTTGCTTCTCTAGTCTACCCAAACAGACATACTTATCACATGAGCATAAAAACACTCATCAGTTGTACACAAACACACACACACACATCACATAAACGCGCATGTAGATACACCAGACACAAACACACTCATTACACACGCACTCTCGCACACACTCTTCTAAACACATGCATGTGCGTGCACACACACACCAGCACCCTGCTCCAGGGTGAGCTGTGAGCAGGGTCACAGAGGTCAGGTGTCATATGGCCTCCCCATCCCCCCAATGTCTCAGCTCACTAGGGGTCTCTCAGAACAGCCCCTCCTCCCACTGGCACCTCTGACCACCCCTGCCAGCACCTGACACTGCTGAACACTCAAAAGCTGGACACGGGCCAGGAGCCACAGACCACTCCGCGCCCCATAAGCTGCAGTGCACACCTTGGCTCACACCCAACGCACTGAGGAGGGGAGCCTCAGCCACAGGGTGGAGGCAGGCTGGCTGGCGCGAGCCTCTGTGTCCCAGGTGCTTGTCAACCACTTCATAGCCCTTCAGCTCAGCCACTGCTCCGAGTAGCCCATACCTGGCGATGACCTTACACCCTAGACCCAGGAGAGCAGCTTCTGGCCCAGAGCGACAGCAGGGCTCCCTAGTGACAGACCTGAGACAGGCAGGACAGGCCCCCTGAGACCACCACACATGGTGCTCACTGCCACACGGCCCTCCCTCCAGGAAGAGGCCAGGCTGGTCCAGACCATCAGCTTCCAAACTGATTACTCCTTAAAAAGCACAAAGAAGACCCAGTGCCCCTGGAAATGACAAATGTTTGTACTACTGCCCACAGCCCAGGATCAAATGCAGGCACCTGCTCTTGAAGCCCTGAATTGTCCTGCAGGGGCCCTGGTAATATAATGCTTATGCACTAGGTTGCTAATCAGGAGATCAGCAGTTCAAAAGCACCTGCCACTACTCGGAAGAAAGATGAAACTTTTAAAGCTAGTCTCAGAAATGCACAGGGCCTGTCCCACAGGGCCACTGAGACGCGATGGCAGTGGGTTTGGATTGTCCCAGTGCCCTCGGGGACGGCATCACCCAAGTTGGGAGCCGCTTCTCTGGCAGTGCAGAGGCGCCACAGCCAAAGCCTGTTCACCGAGGAGCCACCAGGGACTCACCTTTCCTCAGCACCCGCTTCTTGGCGCGCATGTCAGTCTCTAGCTCTGCAGCTCTGATGTAAATCCGAACAGACTGTGGGAGGTGGCGGACTGCCTGGGCCACCACAGCCTTGGCTGTGTCTCCAGGTTGCAGCCTGGCTGCTTCCAGCCAGACATCTTCACTCTGGGGCAGGAGAGAGTAGTCAGGGCTCATCACAGCAGCACCCTAGGGAGCCCGCAGCTTCTGCCATTGGCCACATGCAAAGGCCGACCCAGGGCAGTGCTGCGGTGCCTCTGCGTCCCAGCCCAAGGCTCACGTCACTCCAGGACAGATGGGGACTCACAGGCAGAGCGGCTGCACCTGTGTCTGAGGAGCTGATGAATTTCCACCACGCAGGGCCCCTTGCTATGAGCAGTGAGCATCGTCACACGGCAACCAGCACACATCCATACATGCTGCCAACACACACTCTCTCCACGGCACAGGCTTACAGCAGTGGCCGCAGCACACAGCTCATGAAGCACATGGCAGGGCCCTGGGCCCTGAATGTGTGATTGCTACTTCAGGCGCCGTGTGTTAGGTCAGGTGGGCAGGGGAACTGACTTGCCCTGCTAACAAGAACTCTCAGCTATTTCCTACAGGGTCAGCGAAAGGCCAGGCCCCCCTGCCAACAGGGCCTGCCCAGCCAGTGCCATCACAGCCTCCCACCCCTGGCCAGCAGCTGGCGCCCTCTCTCACCTTGGGGCACATCTCTGTCCCTTTCATGATGAGGTTCCGCGCCACCTGCAGCTTCCCCGTGACCTCCTCCAAGCGGGCCGAGGCAATCCAGGCTGGCGGGTGGTGAGGGTTCGTCTCCCGCACCGACTTGAGCAGCAGTCGTGCCTTCTTGATATCACTGTGGGAGGGGGCACCTGGTCAAGCCCCTCGTGGCAGGTGGGTCCAGCCCACAGAGGAAGCACACTGTGCAGACAGCCATGGATAAGTCACCGGCCAGCACCCAGTCAGCTGCCTGGGTGACAGACACAGTTGGTGGCCTCCCACAGGCCCAGCACCAAGTGGCCCACCCTGAGACGCACTGGCCAGTACCCAGTTGGTGGTCCTCCTCAGTGCCTGGCATCAAGTGGGCACCTCCTGAGCATGTGACTGCAAAGGTGGGGCAGGGGCAGGGGGGTACCCTGCCACCAGCCAGTGTTGGCAGTGCAGTTCTGGCACAGACACAGACCCGCAGGCAAGAGAGCCGCCGCTATCAAGAACCCCAAAGACCTAGTCTTCCCCCCCTTGCCCCCCACTCACTTGATGTCCCCGCCATGCGTGGGGATCATGGAGTTCAGGTCCGTCAGATAGCCTTTGGGGTCAACCACAGTCTGACCACTCACTGAGTCAGACACCTGGGAGACAAGATCACAGCAGCGATAAGGCCAGGTAGAAAGGGGGAAGTGGCACCAAGATCACTGCCCAAGCTCCGGCTCCCAGTGGGGACGTGAGCCTAAAAGTTTAAAAAAAACAAAAAACTGCAAGAAAAAAGCACATTTTACTCGATCTCTTCTCCAGGTGCACATTCACGAAGCCCAAGTGCCTGTGCTGTAAACAGACCCCCCAGGCACCTGATCCAGAACTCCTGTACCACCTGCACTTCCCCTCCTCCCCCTGGAGTTGGTGTGAGCGGGTCCCCTGCCCTTCCTCATCCTCCTCGCCAGTGCTTTTCTCAGCGAGGCTTGCTTCTTCCAGAAAAAAACACACAATTCAGTGCAAAAGGGGTTCTCTGCCAGATGCTGCCTGCCTGCGCAGAGAGCCTGGCGGCTTTCTGCTGCCTTCTGTGGTGCACCGTGCCACAGTGGCACCCTGCAGCTGTCTCCAGCCAGTCCTCCTTCCAACAGGGAGGTGGGCTTTGCAGAGCATCTTGCACAGGTGACAGCCTCAGCTGTCAGCAGGCAGACCCCTCCTCAACTGAGGTGAGAGGCAACAGACACGGAGGGGGCGCCCACAGCCCTGAATCTCTGAAAATAAGAGCAGCACCTCGTGCTCTGGCAGTTAGACGTTATTGTCAACTTGAGGAAAGGGTAGGGCCTAGCTTGTCAATCAGGTCGCAGCTCGATGACCTCATTTGGAGGTGCTACAGTGATAGATAGCTAACTGGAGGTCAGACCCACTTTCTCTGCCTTTCTTTTCCTGCTGTTGAGACACTAAGAAAGCTGGAGGAGCCACGTGGAGACCCACGCCAGCGCTGAGATGCTTCCACTGCCACTGGATCCACAAGACCTTCTACTCACTGGCCTGTGATCTTCCTGCATTCTGTGTCATTGCATGTGCTGCGTGAGTCTGAATAGGAATTTATGAACTAGCATTGGACATATGGGCTAATACCGGACTTATGGACCTGATCTGGACTGGGCTGGGATGTTTTCTCAATACACTTTCTTATACACGTGTCCATTAAATTGTTTCTCTAGTTGACCCCAGTGATCAAAACAAGGCTGAGATACCACCTCCCCCGGCACTGACAGCAAAGTCCTGAAAAGCAAAGAATGGCAAATGCTTGCCAGTGGGGTGGGGTGGGGCGAGCCGAGTCCCGCACACTGCTGGGGGGTGGGGGCGGGGTGAGACGAGGCCCGCACACTGCTGGGAAAGGGGCGGATGGCATACCCTCACACAGCCATGAGGGGAACTCTACGAGGTGCAGCAACCCCACATTTGGTCGACACCCACAGAAATGCAGGGAAATGCACAAAGCAGAACAGACAGGGTGGTGTATGTTCATGGCACCAGCACTGTGGACAAGGGCAAAAAGAGGCAAATGCCCATTGGAGTCCTGCGCTTCCGAAAGAAGTGGATGGTGCCACGACACCCTTCCTGACATGGATGGACAGACACACGGACGTGGGCAGAGGTGAGTCAATGTTCTATGAGAGCAGTTACCAAGGATACACAAAAATCAAAAGGTCTATGTACCCAAAGACACCAATATGGACGGTCACCGGGTGGGCAGGGCAGGGGGAAAAGCGTGAGCTAGAGGGTCCCCAGGTTTCTCCTTGGCTGATGGGGAGATGGTCTCCCACGAGAGGGGAGGACAAAGGGCCACCCAGCGGGAGGCTTGCTAAGGCTTGGTTCAAATTGCTGGCTGCCAAAAGGCTGACTTGGGACCTAACCCTCCACCTAATTCACAGCAGAGTGTGAAAGAAAAGGCAGACCACCACCTCTTGATCACGTCCAGGCACGGCGGCGTCATGTGGAGAGCAGCACTCAGACAAGAAACGAGGAAAAGGCCCGTGCTTGCTTGCCATCAGCACCGTCCAGCGGGGGCTTACAAGTCTCGCTGTTCACTTCCCCACTTCTGTGGAGGACGCCCCGTTCCATCAGGCGCACACGGCGGCTCTCCACAAGCCCTTGTGAGCTGCTAACCATGAGGCCAACAATGGGGACCAGCCACTGGTCCCCAGACCTACGGGGCCATTGTACCCTGTGTCATGGGATCGCTGGGAATCTGACTCCGCTCGATGACGGTGAGTGAAGGATGTGAGCTGAGCTATAGGGTCAAAGGAGTTTTCTCAGACACAGGTCCCCACCTCACCTGGCTCAACCTCATGTCCATCAGCGTGTTCCTCGCCTGGCCGATCTTCCTCATATCCAGCTCACCTGTGCCGGGGGTCATCAACCCTGGCGTCATGCCACCGGGGTAGGGAGTGTTCAGGCCGCCTGGGTAGGGGGTGTTCAGGCCGCCAAATTGCTGGAGCAGGGGTTCGGGGGGAGGAAGGGGTGCACAGGAATGTTTGGCTGAGTGTGTGCACTCCCTGCAAACAAGCCCACCCACCCCTCGGAGACTGCAGAGGGCCAATCATGCAGGCAGCGTGGCCACAACCCCACCCCAGGGTGCCAGCCCCTTCACAAGCTCCCGAGGCTCACTGTCTGCCGGGGGTCCACGGACGTGTGGCTCTCCCCGCTCTGCAGGTGTTTGGCGAAGAAGCTGTCGGGCACAGGGGTCAACTTCTCGTAGCGCGGGTTCCGCTGACGCTTGTTCCTGGCATCGCCCACCTCAGGGATGCTCAGCCACTCCTCCTCCGTGACTTCTGCCAGCTTCCGCTGGGAACATGCCAGGAGGTCACCTCCCTGGCAAACTACCCCGCCAGCCCGAGGAGCCCCCAGAGGTCCTGACTTGAAAAGGGGCTTGGTGCACAAGTGGTTTTGCACTTCACAGAGAAACCAGTTCAAGAAGCGGCGGAGAGGGCAGGCCCCGGGCTCCACCTTGCTGGTGGGTGAGGCAAACTGCAACAGGGCGTCTGAGACTGAGCCCTCCCTCCCCAGCCATCTCCCAGGGACTAACTGATGGCAGGCCGGCTCCGAGGGCCAGTCAGCCTGAGCCCGAGCTGTCAAGACGCAGCTGAGTGGGACATGGCCTCCCACCTGCTCACCTTCAGATCGGAGAACTGCTGCTGGATTTTGGGGCGCTCCATACGGTACTTCTCAATTTCCTCTTTCTCCCTCTGCTCCCTAGGAAGCACAGCAGACACTCAAAAAGTCAGAAGCCGTGGGGGGAGCAGGCCCATTGCTGGTGGACCCTGTAGGTAGCCAACGCCCAGCACAGTTCAGGAGTCCCGAGGGCTCGATGCTCCTCCGCCACACCCAGCTGGTTGTTCATTTCCTCACCACTGGCCACCGCTCCTCGCCCCGCGCCCCTGCCGAGCTGGACGCCGAGTGCAGGAGCAACTCGCCTTACCTTCGTTCTTTCCTTCTTTCATCCATTCTCTTATCCAGAGCCGCGTAAATAGCATCGGCTTCCTCATCGTCTTTCTCGTAGGGCCCGCTGGAGAAGAGGCTCCCCGCATAGCCATTGAACTGAGAAGCAGACCACACCCTCAACCGCAGGTTGCCACCAGGGGAAAGAGCCCCCAGGAAAACGCTCGCTCGGCAAATTATGTCCTGAAGCCCGAGCTGAGGGCCCGCCCACAAAGCAGCCGAGTGCCCTTGACAAGGCCCCAGCACCAAAGACTGACACTGCCCACTAGGCGAGCGGCCCAAGGAGACCCGAGGAGAAAATGCAGCTGGGGGTCCAAGCCAGTCCCGGACCAGAAAGGACACGCAAGAGAATCACCAGGCCCGCAGCCCAAGCAGGTGTGGCTATGTGCCAACCAGCTGGGCCCTGTCTCTGTGGCTCGGCAGGTAGGTAACGATGTAGTCATCCTCCATTTCCACACCAGAGCCTTGTTTACTGGAAGCCCATTGAGTTCTGGGGAAGGAGGGCTACACCGGGCCAGTGCAGTGAGGAGACTTGAAGGTCACCACTGCAGGAAGCCCAGGAAGGAGCACACAGCAATTTGTCCTATTGTTATTTCCCTTGCAAAGTTTCCGGAAAGTCTAATATCAGCTCAGATTGGAAAGTTAAAAAGCTAAAGTACTTTCTCCTCACTGAGGAAAGCTGCCACCTATTAGAGCACCCATAAAGCCAACCTCCACTGGCCCTCGGCTGGACCTGGACGCTCAGAGGCAAGCACAACACGGGCACCAATGCCCCCCACCCCTGCCAGGTTCTTCACTAAGGTGCAGTCACGATGCCACCGAGAAGTCTCAGTGAGATCAGAACGTAGAGTAAGCACAGCTGGCCATCCCTCACCCTCTGCTGCTGAGTCCCTTGGCGCCCACTCAGCCACCACAGGAGATGCTCAGGGCACCCCGAGGGCGCCATGCACTACCTCATCATAGTTAGTGTCATTCAGGTCCTCGTCATCATCATCTGCAGCCTGGTTTTTCTTCATCTGGTCACCAACGGTCCTCTTGCCTGGCGGGGCATGGCGGTCATCCACAGGGTCATTGGCGTCTCGGGCAGGCCCAATGTCTGAGCGAGTGGTGAAGCCAGTGGCACTGTAGGAGACCCCAGGACCCCATTGGATGCTGTCCCTGCCACACCTGGGGGAGCCTGCTCCTGTGCTCTCCCCAACCCCACGCTCGACCCCCCCCATGGGGAACACCTCGTCTACCTGGAAACCACCCCAAGGTCCTGGGGTGGTGAGTTGCACATGGCCGCTTGCAGACACGCTGATATGGTCACCCCTCCAGCCGACCCAGCCCCCACCAGGGAGACCTCTTCCCACTCAAGGCTTCTCTGCACTGGGCAGTGTGGCTTCCCACAGTCCAGCTTCAGGTTCTCAACAACTTGCCCACCACCCACCTCCCTGACCACCAGTCCTTCATGCCCTCCCCATCCAGACCCCTCTCCCACTTGGTGGCTGGGCTCCCTCGTGTGCCTGCCTGCCTGTCACCCTCCGACCTGCTTCGAGTTCTTTTGATTCAACATCTGAAATCTCTCTTCCCCAACCAGAAGGCCCCGACTGGAGACGAACACCTCGTCACCAGCTTTGCCCTGCTCTGCCAGCTTCAGCCTGGGTAAGGTCTCAGAGCCCTGGGACCCCATCCACTCGCTGCTTGGTCCACTCACACAGAACCCTGGGCCTCGGTCCCTGCCCCTCCTGTTTTCAAGGCCCACACACAGCCCAGCTATCTGTCTGTCTGTCCACACTCTGCTCCAAAGCCTGGATCAAAGGCTGTAGAGCGCTTCCTGATCTCAGGACCTGGGTTCTCCATCTGTTCCTCTTTATGCAGCTGCAAAACCCAATCAATCCCCTCCCTAGACACACAACGTGGACAAGGAAAGTGTGTGTGTGTGTGTGTGTGTGTGTACACGTGCGTGTGTGTACACGTGCGCAGCCAGCCGCTATGTGGACCAAACAGATTCTAACTCAGGAGGAGGAAGGAAAGAGGCCCCAATGCAGAACCCAAAGGCAGCAATGCCGGCATCGGGATTCAACAGCCAAGGGTGGTCGGCCAGGGTGCAAGCCCAGTGGAGCACAAGTGCCGTGCTGGGGGCCAAGGACGAGCAGCTCAGATGAGCCAGGAGGGCAAGGTGCAGCCCGGAGAGGCCTAAACAGCCTGTCCACTGAGGAAAGTGGCCCCAGGTCCCCCTGGCCCTGTCTGTCACCCACTGGAGGGACTCAAAAGTGGCGCAGATAGGTGTCTGAGCCCCAAGCTGCTCTCCTGAGCCCTCAGCGAGGCTGAGACCGAGCCACCTAGTACCTCCAGCGCGTGCCGACTGCTTTCTGTCGGCCCTGTGGCGATCAGCGAACGGCCCTGGGTCTCGCGGCCGCACGGAGCAGTGAGGCAGGAGTGAGTGAGCGCGGGGCTCCTGCAGGGCCCGGCAGGCCAGCAGCCCTGACGCCCTCAGCTCCCCGACCCCCGGGCCCCCGACACCTCAGGTCCCCGATTAGCATAGCTTCCCGGAGCGCGAGACCCGGCCGGGCCTCCAGGACCTAGCTGCCCCCGGTCCATCGCTCACCCCCGGCCCAGCCCCGGAACGTAGCCGAGCGGGGCGGGCATGCCCAGGAACGGCTTCTTCTTCTTGTTCATGGCGGCAGCGACTCCAAGCGCAGGGCAGAGGCCTGAAGTGGCGGCGGCCGCACCAAAACAACGGAGACCGCTCTCCCGCGGCCTCCACGCAGGAAGAGGATACGGCGGTACGTCATTCGTGCCCCGGAAGCAGAGCGGGGCGTCCGTGAGAAGCCACGCCCATCAGACGGCTCCGAAGGAACTTCCGCGATGCCGCCCTGACGGCTTCCGACCGCGGCAGTGGGGCCAGGGTGCGGTGGGCGCATGCGCGCGAGCGCCGACTTTGGGGAGGCAGGTAATGCTGATGGGTGGTGTCAAAGGACAACGCCACCCTGGACGTACCTGCGGAACCCCAAAACAAAGCCTGTGACATTTTGTTTCCTGAGAGGTTCTTGGTGCGGTTCCCGAGGAGGCCTGCCCCAGGTCCGCTCCCTCGGAGCGAGCCCAGCCGCCCGCTGCCAACCACGCCTGAGCTGGGCGCGCGGGGCTGGCGATGCGGGCACCGTTGTGTGCTCACGGCTGCTCGGCGCTCTGGCGCCCGTTTTCCGGCTCCAGTGCAGCCAGCCCCTGATGGTCAGCACACGGGCTCCGCACTCCCCCGAGTCCCTGCGCGACGGCACCAGGGGCTCCTGATGGAGTCTAATTCACAGAAAGAAATGCCACGTCGGCACATGTGCGCGGGCCCAGGCACCTGGGTAAATTCCCGGAAGCATCATTTGTCCACGCGTATCACGGGGCCTGTCTCCAGGTCCGAGTCCACGTGCGTGCGAGAATTCCCAGGAGCATGACCCGGCTTCTGGAGCAGATTCCCCCGCCCCAGTCCTCCCGGCCCTTGTAGCTGAGGGTCCCTCCCACCTGCCTCAGCCTCCCTACCCCAGACGTGTTCTCCCCGGTTCTTGAGCCAGACTGGGGACTGCGGAGGCAAGGGGAAAACGCGGTCGATGGGTGGGGTAGTAAGTGCCCATTGGAGAAAGGCCTGGGGGCGGGCTAAGTTGAGGAGCTGAGCCCTTAAGCCTGTGAGGGGGGCGTGGTTGGGAAGGCTGGTGGGGAGAGCCCCCAGACGCAAGTACGCGCCCCCACCACAAACACACACGCACACACCGCCCAAGATGCTATCACGCCCCCCTCCCAGAAACCCCAGCCGACGTCCGCCCCTGGCAGGTGCACCAGGATTCCCGTCCCGGGCGCCGTGCCCAGGTGCGCAGAACCGACCCTGGCCCGGTGTGAGCCCCTCTGCACACGCAGACTCGCGCGCGCGCCGCCACACTTCGGAGCTCCCGGAGCGCGCCCGGCGCAGAGGGCTTGGCGGGCAGGTGCCTCGCCGCGCAGACTCGCCGGACAAACACTGGGACTGGCGCAGCCGCGGGGACCGGCTCGGCTGCGGGGACCGGCGCGGGTTGGGGCGGGGCGGCGGCGCACGTTCCCCGTGGCCACACGGCCGCCCTGCGCTTGGCGAGGGGCGTGTGCACGCGGCCCGGGACTGCGGGGACCCATGTTCACGGAGCTGAGGTCCAAGCTGAGCCCCCCGCGAGGCCGCGCCGGGGCCGTGCGCGCGGGCTTTGGGGAGCGCCGGGATGTGGACGGTGAGCAGGGCCGCAGCGGGGCGGAGATCACCGGGGAAGGCAGCCCGAGAGGCGGGGGCGCGGCCTGGCCGAACGGGGTCCCCGTGGCCTTTGTCCTGCGCGGGAAGGGAAGGGACCTCAGGGGTCAGCGCTCCTGGGCGTGCGCTGGCCCCGCACTTGGGGGTCACCTTTTTCTTTGGGCGCAGAAAACACTCCTTGGAGCCCGGACATATGAGACCGTAGTCGGGCCCAGCACCACCCCACCCCGCAGTATCCGGCCCCCGCTCCCTTCTCTACGGGAATTCTGACGTTGAACTGAGAGGGACAGACCCACAGGCGGACCAGAGCCCCCTTCAGACCACTAACAGGAAGTGGGCGGGGCTGGAGGGCTGGCAGGTGCGGGCAGGTTCGTGCCGGCGGAGGCGCCACCAGGGAGCTGGCCCCGCCGCGCTGCCAGCGAAGAAAGCGCCTTCCCTACACTGCAGTGGTCAGGCTGATCACGCTCTGCACCCGTCCTGACCTTATCTTTAGTCATCCCTCTCCCCACCCCCAGAAAGTTGCGGGACGCGCCCCCTCCAGGGGAGGGAGGAGTCGAGGTAGGAGGCGTGTTTGCCTGTGCCTGGGCCTTCCTGGGCAAGGAGGGGACGGGATGGATTTGTCTGTGGGAGGGAGGGCCTCTCTCTCCCCAGTAGAGTTGGGGCTAGACGCCCCACCCTGCATACTTCTCCTGACACACACCCCACTCCCCACTCTCCTGCCCAGCCTCCATCCTGGGAACTGAGACCCCTCCCCCATGCAGTGGTCCCTCTGAGCCCAGGGGTCTGCCTTCCCCCATCTCAGTGGGCAGTGATCCCAATAACCACTGGTGAACTAAAGCTTGGCACGTGGCTAGCAGTTGATGTCCAAGAAGGCTGGGACTGTCCCTGGATACCTGTGCCAAACCAATACATGCTCCTGGCACCCACATGCAAGGGTGCTGTCCGGCCCCACCAGTCTACGGTATGGCACAGCCCAGGCAAAGGGACCCAGCAGGAAAACCCAGACTGTGGGCCTGGCCAGCCCCAGTCCTTGTGGGTGAGTCACAGCTGGTCACCCCCAGCTGGGGCAGCAGCCAGGGGGAGCCTTTGGACAACTGGGCCAGCCTTCCCCCACCCAGCCGTGGGCTTGTGCTTGGCCTGCAGGCCTGCCCGAGGTGGGAGTGACAGTTCTCAGCTGGGCCCTAGCTGGGTTGAGGGCCTGGAGGGTTCACCGAGGACCCGGGAAGTGGATAATGTCTCCAGCTCCATGTGGGTCTTAGGACTGCTGGGGCCCTCCCTGCCTTTGAGGTGGCTGAAGCCCGCCCCTCACCTGGGAGGGAGTGGGCTGGTGGAGAAGGCCCTCTGGGCTTGCCCTGACTGCCTGGTGGCGACACTCCCGCAGCCACTGCCCACTTCAGCTTCTGCCGGACCCTCTTGGAGCAAACAGTGTCTGCCGAGAGCATCCCCTGCCCCCTGCCCCGGACGCCAGGCACCAGTCTCACATGGCATGATGCCCGCAGTCAGAGGGCAGCCAGCAGCAGGCCAGTCAAGCTCCTGCAGCAGCCCGGCTCGGAGGCCCCCCAGGTATGCCTACCCCCTCATTGCACAGCCCCAGCTCTCTGCCTCAACCCCTCAATGCTGCCCGCTCCCCCACAGGGCCGGCTGTACTCGGACCACTATGGCCTGTACCACACGAGCCCCTCCCTGGGTGGCCTGACGCGGCCGGTGGTCCTGTGGAGCCAACAGGACGTCTGCAAGTGGCTCAAGAAACACTGTCCCCACAACTACCTCATCTACGTGGAGGCCTTCTCCCAGCACGCCATCACCGGTACCAAGGCGTGGGCAGCAGCCAGCCTGCACAGGGGCAGCGGGGCATCTGGGGGATAAGGGACAGTGCTGGGAGAGGTTGGTGGTGAATGGCCAAGGGGGTGGTCATTGGGAAGGGTCAGAGAAGGGAGAGCCTTGTCCTTCCATACTCAGTCTGAGCCCCTCCCCCCCTGTAGCGGCCCTGTCTCAGCAGCATTCTCAACCCATCTCTTCCCATCTTCACTAGCCCTCCGTCACCCCTTCTCTGTCCGTCAGTGCCTGCTTTTGTCTGTCTCTATACGCACATGCATGCCTCTTTCTTTCCTATCTCTTTCTCTAGCCACCTGTCTTTGCCCTGTCAGCCTCTCCCTTGGTCAGTCAGTCTCCTCCCGCTCAGTGTCTCCCAGCCCTCAGTGACCCTTGCTGAGTGAGCTCCTGCCCCACCTCCCCCCAGGCCGGGCGCTGCTGCGGCTGAACGCAGAGAAGCTGCAGCGGATGGGGCTGGCTCAGGAGGCACAGAGGCAGGAAGTGCTGCAGCAGGTGCTGCGTCTGCAGGTGCGAGAGGAGGGGCGGAGCCTGCAACTGCTCAGCCAAGGTCAGTGCAGGGGGGTGGGGAGGCTGTAAGGCAGGAAGATGACCGGGGCTGCTCCCTGGCACCCCACTTCACCCTCACTCCTGCACTCCTCCTCCCAGCCTCCTACAGAAGTATGTCCTAGCTGCTGCAGAGGCTGGACCCAGACCTCGGCACTGTGACTGACCCCACCCACCGGGATGAGGCAGAGCTGGCTACGCGCGGGAGGGGGGCGGGCTGCCCTCTGTACCCTGGGGGGGCCTCCTCACGGCCTTGGCCAGGAGGTGAGATGGGGCCTCCCTTGGGGGCCTAGTGAGGAGAGCAGGCCTGTGGGCCCCAGGGAGACAGTCTGTCTATATGCCCTCCCCTTGCCTGCTGAGCCCCATGGAAGGGGTCCAACCCCATCCTGTCCAGGGCCCTGCTGAAGATGGACAGAATTTCCTATCCCCCCCACGCCCCCACCCCATTCCAGGTATCCTCACGTGTCCTGGAAGCCTCCCTCCGCCCCTTTGGTGCATGTGGAAGTCAAGGCTTCAGGTCCAAAGAGGCCCCCGAGGCCCCTAGAAGTAGCAGCTGAGGCTCCAGATTGCCCTAAGCCCACACTCTGAGTGACTCCATGCTCCACTCGGCCAGGGCTCCTTCGTTAAATGCAGACTCCTCCAGAAGCCAATCTGCCTCTGGAGGCCAGCTAGGGCCTGGTGGTTTGGGGCCGGTGCTGCCCCACAGAGGGACAGTGGGGGTAGGGGATCCTACCCTGCTCCCCTGCCCTCAGGGGGCTCAGAAATCTCAGGGACGATGAGACTGAGCCCCCAGCCCTGTCATGTGCCCAGAGCTGGTCATACAGGCCCAGTGTCCCTGCCCCAGCTTGCCAC